TCTCTCTCTCTCTCTCTCTCTCTCTCTCTCTCTCTCTCTCTCTCTCTCTCTCTCTCTCTCTCTCTCTCTCTCTCTCTCTCTCTCTCTCTCACTCCGTCGCGCCCCTCCCGAACCATCATGAGCACGTCGCCATCCCACGGGCACGTCCGCCCTCCCCCGCGCGAGTTTTCGTGGACCTGCCCGCCACGCCCCTCCCGAAACGTCGCTTTGTCGTCGCCGTCCCATGAGCAGGCCTGCGGCGCGACACTTTTCCTCGTCGCCGTCCGCGTGAATTTTCGTGGACCCGCCCCGCCCACCGCGCCCCTCCCGAACCGTCGCGCGTTCGTCTTCACCGTCCCACAACCCCGCAGTCCCACGCGTGGGCCTCCCTGCCCGACTTTCCCTGGGCCCGGCTCTTGCGTCACGCGAGGACCGGTTTTAACTTTAGGGTATAAGAGATGAAAGACCGGGTAGACGGGCAAGTGGGCGGGCACCTGAAGGAAGGTCCCTCGGGTGCATCCCCAGCGGGTGCCACGATCGGCCAAGGCCCCATCCATTTCGGGAGGAGCTTGCGGGAGATATCTTGTTCAAGGCTGAATTCCGCGGCGGAAACCCAAACGAGATTGTCGACGCGGAATGGTCAAGGAACACGTTGGCGATTGGCCTGTTGGCTCATGCGTTGCTGCGTCTTGGCCATCTGGTCGCGTGCCTCGACAAGTAGCTCTTGCATCCAACGCAAGAAAAGAAGATGGCCGTCGCTCTCGGCCGTTCGTGGTTTGAAGAGCGCCAACCAAAAATCGGACATGAACCAAGTGTCATGGTCGCAGACGATTTCCTTGGGGTAACCCTTGGTTCGAATCCAACCGGCGTAAAGAGCCTCGGCCAACTCCGGTGCCTTGGCATGATAGCGGCAAGGCAAAAACATGGCAAACTTGGTGAGTTGGTCCCACCGTGAGAATCCCATCCACACCGGTCTTGTGCTTGGGGAACGGCCCGGTAATGTCCATGGCAATCGCTTCCTTTCGGCGCAAGGGGACCGGTAGCGGTCGCAACTAGCCGTACGGATGATGGTTGCGGGATTTGCAGCGTCGGCAAACCTGGCATGACTCGCAATAGCGTGTGACATCATCGAGAAGGCCGGACCACCAAAATCGCTCGCGAAGTCGGCCAATCGTTCGATTAACTCCAAAGTGTCCAGTGGCGGGAGCATCGTGGAGCTCGCCAAGAAGCAGTGTAAGCAAGTGAGAGTCACGCGGTACGCAAAAGAAGGTCCTTCCCCCGCGTGTGGATAAGCAAGTACCCCTCTTGGATCCGGTAGTGAGAAGGCGCCGGATTCGGAAAGGAGAAATTCGCGTACTTGTCGCGAAACTCGAGGTCGGCTTGGTAGCTGCGGATGAAGCTGTCCCGTAGGTCGTCGCCGATCTCGAAGGTCGAGTAGACTGCGGTACAATGATCCGGACGCCGTGAAAGAGCATCCGCAAAACGGTTCGACTTCCCGGGAATGTGATCGGGAAAGAAGTCGAATTGGTCGATGAAAGCCATCCAACGGGCGATGGTGCTATTGACGGTGTCTTGGGTCTTGTAGAAGACCAACGGATTGTTGTTCGTTACCCATCGGAATTGACTTCGACCAAGGAGGAAGTGCCGTCACCGCTTGAGTGCGTGGACGAAGGCTAGGAGCTCCTTCTTGTGTGCATCATCAATGGAGTGCATGACGGGCACTTTCTTGCTGAAATACTCGACCGGGTACCAGTCCACACCATCTTGTTGCTCGAGGACAGCACCAATGCCATAGCCGAACGCATCCGTAGTGACGCACGTTGGCAATAGTGGGTTGTATATGCGCAAGACCTCCGCAGATAATAGCGCGGCTTTGAGAGCCAAAAATGATTCTCGCGCATCCTCTCCGAAGTCAAACGGTCGATCCTCGCATTAAAGCTTGGACAAGTGGGCCGCGATATTCGAGTATCCCTTGATAAAACGTTGGTAGTAGCCGGCAAGGCCAAGGAACGAACGGACATCCGTGACGTTCCGCGACTCCGGCCACTCTTGGATGGCTTGAATCTTGTCCGATAGCGGACTGATGCCCTCCGGTGTGACAAAATGGTCCAAGTATTCCAGCTCTTGTCAGACAAATTCACACTTGTCGTGGTTAGCCTTGTACTTGGCGCGGCGGAGCGTCTCCAACACTCATTGAAGGTGCTCAAGATGATCCTCCAATGATGGGCTAGGAATGTCGTCTAAGTAGACCAGCACGAACCGATCCAACATCGCATGAACTCGTTGGTCATTGCTGCTTGAAAGGTCGCCGGGGCGTTGGTGAGGCCAAAGGCATGACCACCCACTCAAAATGCCCATACCACGTCTTGAACGCGGATTTGTGACGATCGTTCGGTCGGATCGAGATTTGATGATATCCCAACTTCAAATCCAACTTAGAAAAATACTTTGCCCCGCCCAATCGCTCAAGAAGATCGACGATGCGAGGAAGAGGTCCCGCATTCTTGACGGTTTGCGCGTAGAGCTTGCGGTAGTTGATGCACAATCGTAGATCCTTGTTCTTCTCCCGTACGAAGAGAACTGGCGCTCCGTATGGAGAGCTACTAGGGCGGATCCAACCCTTGTCCAACAAGTCATCGAGCTGCGCGCGGATGACCGTAAGCTCCTCCTCGCTCATGCGGTAAATGCAACCTTTCGGCGGCACGGCACCGGCCTCAAGAATGATCTCGTGAGAGATCGGCCGATCCGGCACCACACCGGTAGGTGACTCGAAGATGTCGGCGAAGTCATCAAGCAACTGCACCACACGGGGGTCCGAAGACAAGTCCTTGGGTGAAGAGTCGTCTACCACGACGGTTTCTAGAACACAGGCCGATTTTGTCGTGCTGCTCGTAAGCACAAGTAGCTCGGAATGACTTGGCCGTCACCACTTGGCACCGAATTGAAGGGTGCGGAGGAGGAATAGTACACGACACTTCGGCGCCGAAGGCATTGCGAACGGTAAGAGTTCGCCGGTGGAAGTTGACCGTGTGATCCGCACTTGCAAGCCAAGGCATTTCCAAAATAATGTCGAAGTCCGTGCCCAAAATGTCGAATGTCACCGGTTCACATGCATGAGGTGCGAAATACACCGGTACGCTCTCGATGTAGCGGTCAATAAGTTGTTGCGTCCTTCCGTCCGCCAACTTGATCACCGCTGGGTTTGCCTTCCTTCGAACTTGTGCGCCAAGGCCAGCCTTTTGCATAAAGGCCTGGCTCATAAAATTGCGAGACACGCCGCTATCCAGCAAAGCACTGCAGGATGCTTGCCCAACTTGGATGCAGACATAGAGGAGCGGTGCGTTGTTGTCATCGTACCGCTGATTGTGAAACTCGCGGGCCACCTTGGTAACATATGCAAGGATGTCCCCGACCACGACTTCGTCATCCGTCGACGAAGTTGGTGGTCCATAGAAGGATAAGTACATGTGAAGATGAGCGCATAATGCTGCGCATTGCCGTCCCGACAAGCGACCCGTGGTCGGGAGAGGAAGCCATGCGAAATCCTCGGACGTGAGAGAGTCCAATACCTCTATGTTGAACTCGTGTGCCGAATCCCATGAAGAACCACTTGAAGACGATAAGTTGTCGTTGCCGGACAGAGAAGATGTCGCACACACGTCTTGTCCTTGAGCATGAGTACCCAGCGCAGCAACGAGCCGGGCAGCATAGTCCTCAAAAGAATAGAGCAGAGGAGGACTATCGACTTCCGCATGTGCCTCAAAACGAAGGGTGGTCACCCACGAAGTGACCGGTTCCGAAGGCTTCGAGAGTGTCGTCGACTTACTCCCGACGGTGCTCAGTTTCCTCATTTGCCTTTACCTTTCGACGGGTAGTCCATTGTCTCGTGGAGATCGTTGTTACACCACAGACAATAACGGAATCTCGTGCATGCCTTGTATACTTGCTCGGAGAGACCGTATTGGGACCATGGGGTTGGAGCTGCTGCATCGGGCCCGGGGCTAGATTCGGTGTTTGTCTTCGTCTTGTTGCGTCCTCGCCCTTTGCCGGGGCGGCCACCTTCCCGGGCGGTTGTGAGTCTGTCCCCTGCATTGGCAGACACGGCCTCGCTAGTTTGGTCGATTGGCGTTGCCGCTGCGACCACGACCACTTTCGGTCGATGCTGATTTCTGCTCGGGCCTGTCGCAGACGGGCGGTGGAGGTTCTTAGCCTCCTTGTTCGTGACAATAATCTGCGCGGCCTTGTCGAAGAGCTCCGCCGGTGTCGTCAGGGTGTCCTCGACGTGAGTCAAGGCATTGCCCAACGTTGGACACGACCTCGAGATGAAGTAGTGTTTGATGGATTTGAAGCCCATTTGAATGTCTGGGACGGATGTCAAAGGTGGTACTCGGCAATCCAGTCAACACTCGGCAGCGTGCCTTGTTCGAAGACCATCAACTTGTCAATTGCCTTGATCTCCGGCGGCTCTACTTGGAACCGCTTATGCCACGTCGCCTTTAGATCATCCCAACTGATCTTGGTATGCAAGTCGGCAGCCACCACTCCGTACTTCGACAGGAGATTGTCCAGCCATGCTTGGCACGCGCCCCCCGAGCGGGACTATAAGTATGCGTGATGCTTGTGCTCGCTGGCGTAGTGTAGCTGCAACTTGAGTTCAAACTTACGGAACCACGGAATCGGGTCCGTCTTCATCGAATCGCAAAAGATCTCCTGATCATCGAGCTTTGGAGTTGTCTCGCGCGGTTCCGATCTCGAGTAAGTGGCGGCAGTACATATCCGCTGCTCCAATAGTTGCATGGCGTTTTGCTGTAACTTCACGCCGTCCTTGAGGGATCCGACGTCAATCTCCAATGCCTCGAGGCGATCGGAGGTGTTGGAAGAGTTGGCAACGGGGGCGGCGACGGTTTGTTCCAGCTGCTGGAGGCGGCTGGTGAGTTGGTCAAACACCTGATTCTGTGTTTGAACCGCGTCGTCGAGGTTGTGAATGTCCTCCTGCTGTGCAATGCACGTGGCCAGGAGGTCCGTGAGATGGGAGAGGAGTAGAGCGATCTTGTTTCCACTCTCTTCTGGCTTCCCATTCTCAGCCTCGACCCGCCAGTCGGCGGCCATTGTGAGCAAAGCTCGCTCTCCGTTGAATATTTTATCGCGTCGTTGAAGTTGTTTTTCATCGGCAGCCTTTGCTGCTGCCTCGTCTTGCTGGCGCTGCTGTTCAATTGCCAACAGACGTGCCTTCTCGGCGTCCTCTGCCTTCTTCTTTGTTGCGGCCGCTACTGCATCCGACCGTTGCTCGGCTTCGGTAATCAGAAGCAGCATCCGGGCCTGATAGGCCTCGTCCGTTTCCCCGGACTTCTAGTCCATGACGGCTGTTTGCGAGCGCAAGAGCATAGACCAGGCCGGGGGGCTCCTGACGTGGTACTCCCTGCTGCTGATGTGGCACTGCTGTTGGCTGACGTGGCCTGCTGACGTGGCAACTTACCAATGTCGCCGCAGGGGGTACCTGGAGACAGATAGAGAAGGCAAGACCAGAGGGGGCAACAACATAGGTGAGGAGGGATGGGTGGGGATAAATCGCCCAGATGAGGAGCCCCTAATAAAAAAAGAAAAGTTTGAACTTTGCCAAAACAAAAAATAAAATCGAGAAAATAAAAATCCCCAGTTTTGCAAGTTCAGTAGGTCTCCCAACCTCCCTTGAAGGAAAAAAAATTCGAACTTTCAGACTACCAATGATTATCAGGTAGTGAAAATCATAGAACTGCGAATAAGAAAAATTCCAAAAAGAAATAACAAGTATTCGGAGTCTTTTTGGACTTGCTCATATGAGAGTATTCGCAGTTTGGAAAATGGTACTGCAAGAGGGATTTCCAATACCGTTTTTAAAAAAACGAATTTCGGAAAAAAATATTCCGAACTTCCAAATAACGGGAAATTGCAAAACGAAATCAAAATTTTCGAAAAACAGATATTCCGCATTTCCAACAACGAAATTTCGAATTGTAAGAAGAAAAACGAAAACAGAAACTTCAGGTGTTGCGCTATTGCGATTTTCCACAACAGAAATAGCGAGAAAACAAAATCCGACAAAAGAAAAAAATTTCGATTTTCAGCAATGAGGTCAAAATCATGATTTTGGGAGCTAACTAGTATGCTTTAATCAATCAATCAAGACTAACCAGCTACTTAGTCCCCGCACACGTGTCAGATCAGGTTGTCCTGATTCACATGCAGTGTTCCGATACCAACTGTTACATGCCCAGTTGGGCGATGTACATATATAACCAAGGATCCGCAATGTGATGAAAAGGACCGAATGAACAATGCAGTGCAAGTAGAATCTCAACAAGCAGTGTGCATTCTGATACATACAAAAATGGTGCTTTATAGCGCAGTGGAAGACTTAGATACCAGTCCTGACCTGACTGGGACTGACCTCTATCACGTAGTGCAAGACAGCACAGCAGAATGCTAGGATACTAAATGACTAGCCCAATCAACGTTGCAACGCAGACCCAACATACATCATTCTCATCACAAGGTGTGAAGGGGCCTGGCGCTATACCCAGGAAGAAGGCGCCAGGTCCAGATCATACACAGACGAAGAGGAGGGGAACAGACGAAGAAGAGGGGGAGAGATGGGAATGTCGTCAACACCAAGTCTTTGTTACAAGTCCCAAATAATCCCTCGTCAANCGAAGAAGAGGGGGAGAGATGGGAATGTCGTCAACACCAAGTCTTTGTTACAAGTCCCAAATAATCCCTCGTCAAAATGTCTGAATCCCAAATGTTGAGTCTGGATCCAAATATCACCAAGCTCTCTCTTTCTCTCGTGGTCTGCTGATGCAGTGAAGTCAGGTAGCGAGAGGGTGAAGGGGAGATGGTGGACTGAGAAGAGGAAGAAGGAGAACTCTCTCTCTCTCATATGCTAGGTACTAACCTGTGATGATGGCGCTGTGCTGCAGGTACGTTGAAGGCGAAGCTGGCGCTGCAGGTAAGTATCCCTGGCCTCCGCCCAATCTCTCTCTCTCTAGTACTACTCTAGCTCCTATGGCACCCAGCGCTGAAGACTACTGCTAACGCTACTAGCGCCCAACGCTGAAGACTACTGCTAGCGCTACTACTACTCCTGCAGCGCTCCTCCAGAGTGTTGCTGCCGAATCCTGAAGACTACCTCCTGYCTCCTGAACTGCACGCGAAGTGCCTGGGAAGTACCTAGGAACTACCTGCCAGCCTGCAGGGCAGGCCAGTCCTATGTAGTGCTGGCCCGTCCAGGAGGCTGCTCTTGGCAATGCCGAAACGTGCCAGACCCTGGCGTTGAAGCTCAACCAGGGGTTGTCTTGAAAACAGGCCCGAAATGGCCTGTGCTAAAACCCTGGTTTGTTGCCTGAGTTTCAGGCCGGGTCGAACTGATGAGGGCCTGAAAATGGCCCTCAGCTTCAGGCTGAAAACACTCAGGGTCGGAAAGGCTCTGATTTAGCCTGAAACGACACAGGGCCTGTAGGCCCTTGTTTTCAGGTTTTCAGGCCGAAACGACACGGGGCCTGTAGGCCCTTGTTTTCAGGCTTTTGGCCTAACAACGTCACGGGCCTGAAAGGGGCCCGTGCAGCCTGTTGCAGGCGCAGCATGTAACACTGGCAATGACTGCCTGCGCCCAGCTACCCTGCAGCACCCCACCTCACCACTACGCGCCCAGTCAGCGCCCTTGGCAGCAGCTCAGCATCAAGCGATAGCGCAGCAGCACTTCCGCATTGCCTGCACTGGCCAGAATGCCTGGCCTGGGCTGCCTCACTTCCTTTATTGAAGTGGCAGCCTCCTGGATGCTGCGTGTGGCCTGGCTGGACGCTTCCAGTAGCTTCCGGTTGGGCCTCAGACCCTGCGCCCAGGCCCGAGACTACAGTTGAGGGCCTGGGGCCCATTTACAGTTGGGCACGGCCTGAGTGTCCCGACTTGAACTGTTTGCTGCATTTGTGCAGGGCTCTCGGGTAGGTGCGTCGACAGTACTGCTTTTGCGTAGACTGATGGCCTGCTTCTCAATGTATCGGCCCTGCTTTGTGTGTATGTGCCCAGGCACAACTGTCAAGGCCTGGGCCAACTGTACGACGCAGCTTAGTGAGGCTCGCGCGTCCATTCAACCAACTGGCGTGCTGCAAGAGCCTGAATACCCACATATGAAAGTGTCAAATATTGGCCTTTGACGAATATTCAGGCCCGCCTTCACTTAGGGCGGGCACTCGGCTTGCTGGGGGCCTTAGCCCAGAACAATGTGATGTCTGATAGGGCCCCTTGAGGGCTTGTTCCTCACATTCCATCCCCCTTAGCTTCAAAAGTCCGTCGAGATGCTTCATGTTGGTGCCTTCCCCTTCAGTTTCTTCTCATAATCTGCCACGATCTGAGGAGYTGTCTTGACAAGTTCCTCCCTTGAAATTCATCGATCTTCCTTAGGATCCGTATGATGCCTGAAATGCACCCTGTACTCCCTTGCCGGCTTAGGAGGTCTTCCCTTGCCAGGTGGCTTGGGAACAGGCGTGTCTCTGTGATCCAGGAAGTCGTCGACGTCCACGTGACCATCCATGGTTSGGGGCAGCATAGATCTCYGTGATGGGAACTGTTCTGTCTCAGCAAAAGGTGCAAGCTTGGAGGCGTGAAAAACAAGGTATGTGCATAGGTGACCASGGATACGAATGACGTACGAGGGACCATCCAAATCATTCCCCACAATGTCTAAGACTTCCCAAGGACCGAAATATTGAGGCATTAGTTTCCTAGAGATGCCAAACTCCTGTCCCAACTCACTAGCCTTGACCCAGACACGTTCCCCTACCTGAAATGTGGACTGTCGGCGACGTTTGTTCTCAGAAGCAATCATAGCTTCCTGAGATTTCTTGATGTATTCGACAGTCTGCTGCCACAATTTCTCATACYGGACACCAAATTCAATGGTTCYAGGAGTTGCAGCAGTTCGGTTTATAGAGCAGATCTAGGCTTCCRTCCSAGATGTAGTTGATTAGGACTGACACTGGTGGTGCTGTGAACAGCATTGTTRTACAGACTAGCGATGAGAGGTAGTTTCTCATCCCAGTCATCCTGGTTGGGCTTGATGCAATGCCTCAGCAAATGCTGCACCACGTGGTTCATCTGTTCAGCCTGTCCATGTGCTTCAGGATGATTCCCARAAGTCATCTGAAACTGGCTGCCCATCTGTTCAGCGACCTTCTTCCACATCTCGCTGGTGAAACGCACATCTCTATCACTAACGATTGTCTTAGGCAGTCCAAAGTCACGCACCCAGTTGTCCATGAACAACTTAATGACGTGCTCARTCCTCACAGTCTCTGGCATGGCAATTAGTCTACCATAATTGGGAAACCTATCTACTATGRCGAAGATATGCCTTTTGTCATTCTTGCTGGTCACGAGAGTATCTATGAAGTCCATGGAGATACTCTACCCTGGGCCGGCAGGAATGGGTAGAGGCTTGAGTAACCCAAGCGGAGCTTGAGTTCGCGGCTTGTCCCGATGACAAACCTGACAGGTTTGTACGTACTTCTTTGCATTGTCCAGCATGTTAGGCCACCAGAATCGTTGTACTAAGTTAGCACTAGTCTTCTTGTAGCCGAAATGTCCCGTTGCGTCGTGGCACTCGCCTAAAAATAAACTACGCAAAATCTCCCTAGATGGAACAACTAACCTCTTAAACCCCGCCTTTTCAAGAAAGAGTAACCCATCCACCATCACAAACTCGTCAGAAGTGGCCTTGTCTTTGGCCTGCAGTTTGTTGATGATGTCCATCGTGGCGGGATCTTCCTTGTAGGCTTCCCCCAAGGATCGAGTCACGTCCTTAGATAAGCCAAACTCAGAAATCAGCGCACCTAGGTAATTTGCACTTCTAGACAACGCGTCCGCAACCTTGTTGTACTCTCCCTTCACATAGTCTAGTTTGAAGTCATACTGATCTATGACTTCAATCCAGCGTTTGCGTGCATCGGAGAGAACTGGTTGGGTCTTGATCCACTTGAGGGTCTGATGGTTAGTTCTAAAGTAAAAGAACCTTCCTAACAGATAGTGCCTCCAGTGGATAAGTGCCTTGTAGAGAGCATAGAGTTCCCTCTCGTAGGTGGACTTTGCCAACTTATTTGATGGCATCTTTTTGCTCATGTACTCGACCGATGTCAATTTTTCCCCTTCCTGCTGAGCCAACACTGCGCCAATACCATATTGGCTTGCATCAGTGGTAACAACGAATGGCCTCTGCGGGCCGCGCACCATGAGAACTTCATGGTGTGTGAGAGCATGCTTCAAACGCTTGAAAGCTGCCTCACACTCGTCGCTCCACTCCCATGGTGTGTCAAGTCGAGTTAGATCAGTCAAGGGAGATGTGATCGTGCTATAATTCTTTACGAAATTGCGGTAATAACCACACATTCCCAAGAATGATCTGACCTAAGTCACAGACTGGGGTCGTGGCCAGTCATGTATGCTAGCCACCTTTGCATCTTCGGGCCTAATCCCATCTGCGGATACTTCATGACCCAAGTACAAGGTTCGAGTGCGTCCGAACTCGCATTTCTCTGCGTTTATCTTATACTTGTGCTGCCGAAGGAGTGAAAGTACGTTGTCTACATGTTGAGCATGCTCCTCGACCATCAAGGCACATTCTTAGTGTTCCCCCTTTCTTTGGAACGAATAAGATTGGTGAGCCAAAGGGGGAAGTGCTAGGCCAAATCCACCCCTTCTCTGTGAGCTCTTTCAGTTGTCGTCGAAGCTCGTCCAACTCGGCCGGAGCCATCCTATAGATTCTTCCCTTAGGTGTCTTGCTACCTGGGATGATCTCTATGGCATGGACAACCTCCTTGTCTACGACTCTTGTAGGCTCCTCAAACAGATCGGGGTACTTAGCAACGATGGTCTCTAGCTGTGGGGGTGTTCTAACGGCCTCCCCTTTCGCAGAGGCATAGACTAAGTACATTCCTTCCTCTTGGTTCTGTTTATAATAGTTATAGAAGGAAGATGCGCATAAGCACCCATAGGAGTCTATTAACCTACTGGCTTTATACTTCGCCAGTCTAACGGTCCTCCCATTAGGCAACTCGTGCTTCAACACCTTCTTGTCCCAGTCAAACTGGGGCTTGGCAACCTCGAGGTAGTACATATCCAACAACATGTCAAAGGGCAAATCGTCGCTCACCAGGAATGCTATCTTATGGTTTATCTCTCCTCCTGGGTAGGAGAACGTGCAGACCACGTCTTTAACGTAGTCCTCCACCATCATGCGCTCTTTGTTAGCCAATGTAGATGCTACCGGTCTACTAAGGAGTTGCACCCGGTCCTTTCAGCGGAATCTATCAATGCAGTCGCGACTTATGAAGTTTCGCATGAAGCCAATGTCTACAAAGGCGCGGCACTTGCGACCACCCACACCAACTTCCACAACGAAGTGCTCCCCTCTAGGACCTCTACTTAGTGCCACCCAGGACTCACGAGGGTCCCTTGCCGACCACTCACCTTGAAGGTCCGGATGCGTCCGCGGGGTGACTAAGGAGTCGATAGCTTTGGCCAACTCTTGAAACGGGGAGGGTACATCACCCGCTTGATCCAAACCGACCCTAACCCAAGCAGCTATTTTGTTTGGGTTGGCGGCTTGCCCCTGACTCCTCTGTTGACCGCCCTTGCCGCGGCCACCTGCCTTAGTCTTAACTACGGCGGCGAGGTTGCTACCCTCAGCACTCTCCTCGCCATTTAACTCTGACCCCTCCACAAGCTCAGAAACATCATCGATCTCAGTTTGATTCCCATCGGAATCAACCATCATCAATTGACTACCCTTCTTCTTCCATTCTTGTGGACTCTTCTTCTTTCTCCCGTCCGTAGTGGGGGTTTGAGCACCACCCAGCGTAGCCTCTAAGTCTAGGGCCTTCTTGTTGAATGTCTCAAAGGTGTGATACTCTAGACAAGCCTCGCTAGCTAAGAGGTTCTTGATGTCTGTGGGGAGACATCTCAAGAACATGGTCAATAAGACCTATGGATTATACTCCACTCTCGGGATGACAATCAACCGCTCTACGGTTGTGGTCAGCTCTCTCACGGACTTGTACTTCCTAGAGTCAAGTTTGAGTAGCCCATCAGTTGCAATCTGTGGCTGCTGAGGGTTGTGCCATCGAGCCTCCACTAAAGCCATAAAGTTTTCAAGGGTATAGGTCTTGACGCAGTCACCCATTTTTCTGCCGAACCCTTTTGAAGCCACTAATCCATTTAGCCAGCGAGTTGCTGAACCCTCTAAGTAGGACGCAGCAGTAATCACTTCCTCCTCTACTAGCGTCCTCTTTGCCTTGACCCACACTGGAACCGTTCCCAACCAAGTGTCGAGTCCCTCATCCTTCTTATCTCCTGAGAAGGTAGGAGGTGGTTTCAGAGGGGTCTTGGGGTACCAAGGTTGCTGCTGTCCCACTGGTGAGACAGTCGGTGGCGGTGGTGTAGCTCCAGCCGCTGGACCAGAAGATGACGAAGCAACAGTCTGTGACATGGCTGCTGCTGATGTACCACTTGGTGATGGTCCAGACTGAGCGACATAGGGGCCTGTCATCGCTGAGAATGGCAGCGATGGCAAAACTTCTGGCCTGATTCCTGGCCTATGCATGACATTCAGGGTCTGATCCAAGGTGTCCTGGATTGTATACAGTTTGCTGTCCATGTATGCGTGCATGGACAGGATGCTCGCCTTAAATATCTTTTCAGTATTACTAAAGGCCGAGTCATCTGACCCCTCAAGTGCAGCTTTGTCTGCCTCCCTACCCTCTAGTCTGACACTCCTGTCTCTAATCTTTTTCTCTCTTTTAGTAGCCTGTTTAAGTTCCTCCTCTAGGCTCAAGCGAATCCTTTCTACCTGCTGGAGCTCCATCTGCTCCCAGGTGCGTGGAGGCGGCGAGCTGAACTGCGAACCCGCCATCTGACTAGTGCCAACTCCTGATGTACTGGAGATGGACTGTGAACTGGTCGCGTTGAGTGGCATACCCAACGTCTGACCAGTAGAGTTTGCAGCAGAAGTGGCTGAAGAGGTAGTCATTGCTACTGCGCTAGCTGCCGCTGCTGTCAACGCTCGGGCAGCCGCTGCTGCTGCCTCTCTCGCAGTCTCTAGATTACGGGCCTTTGCTTCGGCCCTAAGCCTTCTCTCGTCTCCTGGTAGTAGAACCTGGAACAAAACGGGCATCCTACCGGTTCTAAAAATAAATAAAATAATCAATGTCCGACGAGTTACCTAGACTACCAGTCAATCGACATCAACAACACCTACACGGACTGTGCACATGTAGTTTACTTCTATCCTGATTAGTTCTGCACAGAAGCTTTGAAAAGAATTGACTATGGGAGATTATAGTCCTACTTTAGGCTGTCTGTTAGGTGTTAGCAGCCTGTCAACCAACTAATAAAAATAAAAATAGACTATTGTGAGCAGATGTATGCACAATGGATATGTTAGTGATGCACAATAGAGTTCACAATTGGAATCCCCTCCTCTGTATCCAACGTACTTGTGAGCATCATCAAGCTGCGGTGTCTAAGGTGTGCAACCACGGCCCAACCCTGTGCCCAAGAAGTATGCTTATGACCAGTCCTGTCCTTTGTTTACCCTCGTGTGCAACAAGCCTTTCGTCTGACTGATCTGGCTGATCAAGAGGCAATTTAAGGACAGCCCCCGAGAGTCCTCAGGAAGTCCTTAACGTCGCAATCAGGATGATGATCACAGCCAGTGGACAGTTCAGACCCCAACCAGAAATGTTTATAGACGGTCTGGGAGCATCTACATAGGACTGGTCAGTCTGCACACCCCTTCTATCAGCGCAACAAAGAGCCTCAATGGACAAAGCAGCATGGGCTGTGTGTACTACTTCCCATGGCTTGGCATGGTGACCGTGACCCGTGCTTCGACCAGGGCCCCTCAGAGGCACCGACCTCTCCTGCCAGATGCGCCACTGGGAAGAATGTCGTCTCTCAAGGTAGAGCGCACACGACTCCTCACCAAAGAGAGGACACTCAAGTTGGACTCACTTCCTCACGGTAAGAAGAGATTGAGAGGATAGATAAGGAATGGGAACAACGTACCTGGAGATAGCTGCCCCCAACCACAGATTTCTCACCAATTGGGCCGACGTGCATTTCAATGACCGGTCAATAGTACCACCCACAACGCAATGCAGTGCCACCTCAGCCAAAATGCCACGTCATCATAGTCTCATCATCATGCATACACCCGCTGTCGCCACAGCTCCCACGCTGTTGCCACAACCTTCCAGCGGTCGGCCCCTCTACCTGGGCCCCGCTCAATCAAACCAGCGCTAAAGTATCCTTACTGCACATGAAGCATCGTCAACGCACCATGTAACAATGTCGCCAGTGCCAGGCAAGCGGCGATCACGAACCAGCTCTGATACCAAATTGCAAGGAATATGAGTGTGAACGATATACAGAAAACCAAGTTGCGAAATCACACAGATGTCCAAGTAGTCGTGCCCAAGCAGAGAGTACAAATGCACTGAGAAAACCATCCATATAGAGCAATGCAATGAAGTAATGAGTCAATGTCCAAGCCCGTAGGCCACACCAACACAGTATCCAAAGTCGCTGCTCTCTGTCTGGCGCTCAGCGCCCAGCCTACTCTACCCGGCTATCCTACCTACAGCTGGTTCACGCAACAGGCTCACTTGGACTCTCGAAGACTGATGTACATGACTGTCAATACCATGGCCGACCCCTCTTCATGCACCAGGTACGTATCTCGTCAACCTCAATCAGACCTTGATTACCCCACACTGCCTCCTTCCCTGAAGACCACCTGATCGCCCTCCTACCCCCTGGCGCCCAGCAGCCCGGCTATGGCTGCCTGCGCCCCGCTGCCCTGCAGCGCCCCACCTCACCACTACGCGCCTCGTCAGCGCCCTTGGCAGCAGCGCAGCATCAAGCGATAGCGCAGCAGCACTTCCGCATTGCCTGCACTGGCCAGAATGCCTGGCCTGGGCTGCCTCACTTCCTTTATCAAAGTGGCAGCCTCCTGGATGCTGTGTGTGGCCTGGCTGGAAGCTTAAAGTAGCTTCCAGTTGGGCCTCAGAGCCTGCGACCAGGCCCGAGACTACAGTTGAGGGCCTGGGCCCCATTTACAGTTGGGCACGGCCTGAGTCTCCAGACTTGGGCTGTTTGCTGCATCTGTGCAGGGCTCCCAGGTAGGTGCGTCGACAGTACTGCTTTTGCGTAGACCGATGGCCTGCTTCTCAATGTATCGGCCCTGCTTTGTGTGTATGTGCCCAGGCGCAACTGTCAAGGCCTGGGCCAACTGTACGACGCAGCTTAGTGAGGCTCGTGCGTCCATTCAACCAACTGGCGTGCTGCAAGAGCCTGAATACCCACATATGAAAGTGTCGAATTTTGGCCTTTGACGAATATTCAGGCCCGCCTTCACTTAGGGCGGGCACTCGGTTTGCTGGGGGCCTTAGCCCAGAACAATGTGATGTCTGATAGGGCCCCTTGAGGGCTCGTTCCTCACAAGAAGAAGAAGAAGAAGAAGAAGAAGAAGAAGAAGAAGAAGAAGAAGAAGAGGAGGAGGAGGAGGAGGAGGAGGAGGAGGAGGAGGAGGAGGAGGAGGAGGAGGAGGAGGAGGAGGAGGATGAGGAGGAGGAGGAGGAGGAGGAGGAGGAGGATGAAAAGGAGGAGGAGGAGGAAGAGGATGACGAAGACGAGGAGGGGGACGACGAGGAGGAGGTGGAGGAGGAGGAGGGAAAGAAGGAGAGAAGAATAATGATAACCATTGCCTGAGATGCAATCCAACAGGCATTTCATCAAAGAACCAACATTGCAAAACCTTGTGTTCATGTCTCAGTATCCGCACTCCCTTCCCCAGCCTTCCGGCTCCACGTCCACCTCCCCCTCCACCTCCACCACTCATATCTCACACTGAAGGAGGTCGTCATACTTTCCTCAACTGAGAGCTTATCAAAGTTTCAAGCAAATGTGTTCTGTGCATCGTGGATGACGAACACTGACTGCCCTCTTTTTCTTGTTCCGTGGTCCTCGGAAGTTGACAGCAGTCACAAACTACAAAGGCGGCCAAAAGAAGAAGAAGTCAAAGGGCTGCCAATGCAGGGCACAACTGTTTATACGGGCCGAAAAAGTTTCGAGGTGACTATTATGAGGTCATCATTAACCACGAGATACAGAGGTGAAATTTAAATTCAGAAAAAAAAAGAAGAAAAAAAAACGGACACACACACAGACAGATCCTTCTTCCCCCAAACACAATGCATCCTGATCCAGTTCAATACCAGTCATGATAAGTGAGGGTGCGTTGTGTTCGAGGGGGGGAAGATGGTAATAAAATACACGCTGAGCGTTTGTTCGAAGGAGTGGGGAAAAACGAATAGTGAATAGTGAATAGTGAATACTCTCCTCATTTCTCGTTGACTCCATTAGTTTCATGGTATGACCCTGCGGTCCTTTGCAGGCTCTGCGTGAGGCGGAGGAGAACTTGAAGTCAGCCATGGACCAGCTTCGTTCGAAGCAGGCACAGCTGGCCGCTGTCGAGGACCAGGTGGCCATGCTCAGGAAGCAGCTCAGCGACGCAGAGGCGGAGTTGAAATCTCTCAAGGATCAGGCAGAGCTCACAAGCGGCAGGCTTACACGAGCTGGAAAACTCACCGCAGCATTGGGTGATGAGGAAGTACAATTCTCTCTCTCTCTCTCTCTCTCTCTCTCTCTCTCTGTGTGCGCCCTGTCTCTTATACACATCTAGATGTGTATAAGAGACAGGGCTGCCTCACTTCCTTTATCAAAGTGGCAGCCT